GTTCGCGTGTCTGACCGTCCTTCGAAATACCCGCCTCAAACTCGCCCTGCGCGGACGCAATGACGAGAATGGCGGCATCTGCCTGGGATGTGCCGGTGATCATGTTCTTGATGAAGTCACGGTGGCCGGGGGCATCGATGATCGTGAACACGGACTTGGGCGACTCGAACTTCCAGAGCGCAATGTCGATCGTGATACCGCGTTCCCGCTCAGCCTTCAGCTTGTCCAGCACCCAGGCGTACTTGAACGACGACTTGCCGATCTCAGCCGCCTCCTTCTCGAACTTCTCAATCGTACGCTTGTCAATGCCTCCGCACTTGTAAATGAGGTGGCCAGTGGCCGTGGACTTACCGGCATCGACGTGGCCGACCACCACGAGGTTCATGTGCACCTTCTCCTTCCCCATCGCGCTTGGTTTACCTTGTGGGCTAAACAAACAATTAAAAGCTGTGTCGCAGACCTAGTGCCCACGGCAGCGAACGCAGGGAGAAGATAATGTGGTGTAGACATATGGGTAGTTTGTCAGTTGTGATTTTTCCCCGTTTTTTTTTTTTAGTGTGTGTGTAGGATGTGTCATAAGGCGAATATTGCTGCACGTTGGGTGTGCGGCTTACCTTATCTTTGATTGGAAGGGAGTTTCGTGGTTGACCGGTGTGTGTGTGGATGTAGTATGTACGCTCTGTTTTGTTGGTTTTTTTTCTTTTTGTTTTGGTCTTCCTTTCCTCTCACCTGCGTGGATGTATTTGTTGCTGGTGTCACTCCCGGTGGTTGCGCAGTGTGACATGTCTTTGCCGCAACTCCTTCGATAGGCTGTTTTTTGCGAATACGATCACGTAGAGGACGGCGATTGTGGCAAAGACGGAGACGAAGGCGCAGACACTGAGGGCCCTGTGCGAGTTGTAGGCACGGTGCTCCTCCCAGCGGTACTGTATCTCGATCTCGTCATGCTGTACGGTGGCGTAAACCGCCTCCGCATGAAATGCCGTTATTTTGTTGAACGTGCCCTCCTGGTAGCCGAAGCTAAAGGTGACGGCGGCCAGGTGGAGCACGTGCTCATCTTGACTGGTCTTTTTGGGTGGCGTTTTTACCCCGTAGAGGGGCGTCCGCACGGTACTTTTCAGAAGCGGTAGCCACGCGGTGGATTTGCTGAGTCCGCGCTCCAGCTGGAAGCGCACGGCAACGTCGCTTAGTGACCGGCCGGATACTTTTGCGTGCCTACGTGCGTGCTCAAAGAGTAGCTTGGCGGGCTGGTGTACCCGTCTGTTGATGCCGAAGCGTGGGCAGAAGTCAGGCGGCAGCGGTCGGAGAAACTGCTCACCTTGATCAAAGTCCCGCATGTCGTTGACGTCGTCCATGTCGTTGCGTCCCACGACGATGTTTGGCGATACACGCTTAAGACGCATGTGCAGAGTGACTGGGATAATCTCGCCAACGTTCCATCCCTCCACCCCCAACGTCGAGAGGAGGAGTAGAAGCAGCAATGTCAGCAGTGGAGGCTGCCACATCCACCACGGTCGCATCGGCAACAGTCGCACCTTCTGTCGCCCTATCCGGTTGCTGCGACTGTTGCTGTTTCCTACTTGATTGATCCAGAAGCAGCAGCGGCGGCAGACACCTTATTCCTTCTTGTTCTTCCAAACCCCTAGCACACCCGAGTGTATCTACGACCGCAGAGAAGTGGGGGGAGAGATGGGAATGCATGCAGCGAGTAATATGGTGCCAAATAAAGAGGAGAGATGAGTCCCCGCACGTCTTCCCTTTGTTCTTGTTCCTTCCCCGCTTCCTCCGCTGCTGCTTGCCCTTTCCCCGCATATGTGGTGAAGTGCAAGGTAGATTCACCGCTGGCGAAAACGTCTGGGTTTCCCGAATGGATGACATGTCGGAGTTTCAACACGCTCCTTGACAAACAGTGCCTTGCAACGCTCCTTTGCGCGCATTAGCTGCGAGGCCAGCGGCCCACGTGCCACTGCCGTTGTCACCCGTGCCACGACGGGGTACGTGCCCGCTAGGAACACCACCTGCAACGGTAGCAGACCGTTCGCGATGTTATGCCCTATGTGCAGTGCGGTGAGTGTGGCGGCATCGATGCGGCAGCCGGCGACGGTCCAGTCATCCGCGTGACGCCCGCCCTCCCAGTTGATGAGGCCGGTGAGGGGGTAATGGTGGCGGTGAAGCCATGCCTCTATGCCCGCCACGGTCGCCCTGTCGTGTAGCAGCAGCCACGCACATACACCTGTGCATCCGGCCTCGAGGAAGAGTTGATACGTCGCGATGGGCACCGCATTGGCGATAAACCACACAATCGGAGGCGAAGTGCGCCACGAGAAGCGGCGCTGTGGCGGCTCAGGCCGTGGATTACTTTTCTGCAGGCGGTTCGGATGCCGCGGTGATGCCGCGCACCGCCCATTCGCGTTGCTGCTGCGCGGATGCGGTTGTGCCGGAACTCGAGACACCACGCCGCGAGTACTGCGGTCTAAGACGTCTGCCGCACGACGCCGCCACATCTACTGCAGTGCACTCTGCGGACGCAAACAAAGGAGAGCGGAGACGCGCAGGTTTGTGGCAGCACGGCGAAGGATGCAGAGCCAGCAGCAACAATGCCGTGTATCAGACGTCACACACACAAACACACAAACAAACAAATACACACACAAAGATGTATTCACCTACTACGTACCTTTTTCATCTTCTGTCTTTTCTTTTATCATTTCTTCTTGCGTCAGTTACACGTTTCTTCGGGGTTAATTACCTGCGCTTATGTTGCCTTGGGGGCCTCGCCAAGAGGGTCGTTCGCTTCCCCCCCCCATTCACCGTGCGGAGCGTGTCGGATGAAGGCGGCGGTGTGTCGCCTGTTCATCGCGGCCACCGCCGCCTCCACCTGCGCAAGCGTCACACGGTGGGGGGCGTCCTCCGCCATCGCCTCGGCCTCGTCCTGCCCGGTGGACGGCCTCTCCGCGGAGATGAGGGAACAAATGTCGAAGTGGTGCGACGCAGGCGCGTCGTCGTCGATGTGTACGTCAACGCCGTCGTGGTTCGCCGGCAGCGCTTCTGCACCCTCCTCTCTGACTTCCCCCTCGGCACCTGAAGAGTCCCAGCCAAACACCAGCAGGCGCAGGGCGGCACTGGCGGCGGCATCGCTGCTTGCACGCTCCACCACCGCGCGGACAAGAGCCGCACCGTCTGCACAGGCCTCAAGGCCGTACTCAACGACAAGCCGCGCCACATGATCCTCCGTTTGCGCCACAAACCACGCCGAGCGGCCGTTCGTGACGGGGCGGAGATGCACCTGGTCGTTGAAGACCAGCAGTGGCGCACTCCGCCGCTTCTCGACCGGGTTCGTTGGCGGCAGGGCGTTCTCAACAAACGTCATCACCCGATCATACGCGGCGAGAACACACTCCGAGCGCTTCATGCTTGGCGCTCGCCAGGACATCACGCCGTGCATCGTCACAATGTAAAAGGTCGGCTTTCGCAGAGGGGTGTTGACGGAGAAAATGGACGCGGCAGCCGCTGTGGTCGCTGCTGAAGGAGACAAAGAAGAATGAGGGGGTGACACTGCCTCCCAACGTCGCTTCTTCCGACGCGGCTGCGGTTGCTGACGCCTCTCGCCCCCTCCTCCTCCGGCCTCCGAGACCGCTGGTGCGGTGGTGTCGGTGATCTTCGACACAGACACCACCGCACCGCTGAAGTGGTGGCACACCCCCAACCGTTGCGGGTACAGGCTGTAGTTGTACGCCGCGTAGCAGTTCAGTGAGCCACGGGCGAAGCGGTGCAGCACGGAGCGCCCTATTAACAAGTTGCGACTGTTGTTTTTCATGGCCACATCGAACACCCCGAGTTCCCGCACATCCAGTGGGGAAAGGCGCATTCCTGCATACGCGTCGTCCAGTTCCACCTCCGTGGCGAGTCGCATCGTGCTGGCGTCAAAGAAGGCGAGGTCCTCATGAAGCGTCATGGAGAAGGTCGCCGAGGGGTGTAAGTAGCGGTGGTGAAAGTTATCGTCGTTCAGCTCCTCCTCGTGGAGTTCAGGACCCGCGTCCTCATCTACTTGACCTTCCTCAGCAGAGGAATGACAGCGACGCCGCTGTTGTCGTTGATACTGCAGTTCTGCCACGGTCCACGGCACACGGCGGGTCTCCCACACGTACAAGAACCGCGCCAGCCCGTCCACCACTGCATCCACCTCCTCACTGGCAATCACCCGGCGGCTCTCTGTGCCTTGCGCGGCGGTGCAGAACGTGTATGACACCGCCGTTGGGTGCGGCATTGACAGCGGTGGACGACGAATTGCTCTGCCGTCGAGGCTGGTAAGCCTGGGTAGCGACTTGCGCACCTGCTCCCGGTACTCCGGCTTGCGTGTGATGGGGTTGTCCGCGAGCGAGAGACGCAGCAGACGACTTGAAAAATGTGCCCGGAGTACAAAGAGGAAACGCAGGCTCATCAGTCGATTTTCACTCATGTTAAGAGCAAGCAGGGTGGAGTCCATCTGGTGCTTCCGCAGGGCGTTAACAAGGGCGTCAGCGGAGGTCATGGCGCAACGACGCACGGTGAGCGAACGCAGCATCACTGGTTTCTGCTGTTGCAGCTGCGTGGCCTCGTCATTCATCACGTGGAGGCTCCACACGATGGCCTCCACCAACTCGTGCGCACAGGCCGGGGAGCTCAGGTCAATCTGCTTCTCCGTCACACCGCGTGGTAGCCGCAGTACGTTGCCGCCCGTGAAGTGCGCTGCCGTCTCGGGACGGATGACAGCGGCGTCTGGGTGCTGCGACACGTACGCGACGATGTGGGGGAGGGAGGATAGGTCCACCACGCCGAGCGATGGGTAGCAAGCGGTGACAGTGACCACCCGCTGCTCCTCCGTCTCCACATCGGCGTCGTCCACATCACCGCCCTCCGCCATTTGCATCTCCGCCTCCAGGCGACGCCGCAAATCACACACAACTTTCAAAGGCACCTCAAAGCAGCCCTGCCACAGCAAACACACCACACATTTCTGCAGCGGCGAGAGGCTGCCGAAGACACGCTGCCGTTGGGTTGAGAGACACTTTTTTTGCGGTTGCTTCACCTGCACTCCCTGCGCTGTTGTCTCGCTTGGTCTCACGCTCTCTCTTCGCGTTAACTGCCGGAGCTCTGCCTGCATCTCGCGCCTGTGGGAGTAAGGGCAGCGCCGCAGCCGCAGCGATGCCATGCGCTCCGCCACCGCGACGTCAAGGCTCCAGTTCTCATACGACTTCTCTCGTTTCAGTTCGGCCACAATGTTGTCAATGGCGGCGGTGCGTTGGCGCTCGTCTGTCACCGCTCCGTCCTGCAGCACCTCCTCCTGCAGCCTAAACAGCTCCGTGGCGCTGCGAAGAAGTTCTTCCTCCTTTTCCGCGGCAACTCTGGCGCGAAGCGAGGTCTCCTGCACGTAACCGCGGCAGAAGCCATGCGTCCGCAGCGCCGGGCACAACGTTGAGCACAACGTGGTGTCATCGCGGCGGCGTCCAAGAACCCGCGACCGTTTCGCGTAGCCGCCTGTGCTGGAGAGCATACGTGGGTGCCAATGCGTGCAGTACCACCGTCGGCAGCCGAGGCGACAAGTATGTGGAGTGGGAGGAAGCTCTACACGTCAGGCAGGAAAAAAAAAAGGAAATAACAAAAAATGTGAACAACGGAAACAAGTATTTGGGTGGGTGAAGCACACAACCAAAGACACATTGGCTGAGCAAAAAAGAGAGTTTTGGGGGAGGCACTTGCGTGTTGTCGCCGTCGCCGCCCTCCTCCCGCGGCCGGCTTAGTCGAGTGACACCACGAGGGACACCGCGGCGTCGCAGCAGTCGGCTGCGGGCAACACCTCGTCGCTAACGACGCCCCACCTCTTACTCCGCGAAAGGGCTTCCGTGACGACAGCCTTGGCTCCCCGCTGCAGGAGAGACAGGTCATCCCGTTCACCTGTCTGCACCTGCGGCTGCCGCTGAGTTCCGAGCAGATTCACTAGCAGCGTCCCACCACGGTGCAGCTTTGAAATCACGTGAGCGAGCTCAAGTCCAATGGGCACCTTTGCCTCTCGCGGCTGCTCGCTATGAACCGTGTAGCATCCAAGACCAAAGTAGCGGGACTGCAACGCATGCAGCGGCTCCTTTTGTGGGCGGTTCTTGGAGTGCGACACGAGACGCAGGAGACTTGCAATGTTTGCACCTGTTTCCCCCGGTGCCGCCGCCGCTGACTTGCTGAGGGGAACGTAACTGACGTGGAAGTCACGCTCCAGCTCGAGGCCGCTCTCCACGCCAACGTGCACCGCAACACGACTGAAGGCGCAATCCGCGTCATTCACATCAAGAATGGCGATCGGCTGAGCAGCAGAGGCGGACAATGACCGTCGCTCCTGCGTCTCCCTCGTCAGCAGCTGGGAAAACGTCTGCCGTGCCGCGCGAAGAACTCGAGGTCCTGCTGCACGTGGAGATTCGAAAATCACCCCGTTTTCCATAAGTGGAACTGCCGTCAGCTGTTGCTGTTGGTGCTGCGTGGTAATGATCCACTCGGCAGACACGCCGTTAGGTGGAGTCCGCGGCGAGAGTCCCACCACCGTAACTCCCTCCTGCATGTCTCCTAACACCGCCGCCGCCGCCGCCTCCACGGCCCCCGCAACGGTCACCAAGACATCTGGCGAGACATCGTCCACGGCCTCTTTGCCTGCGTGGGTCCTGACGAGCCGCGTCATGGTACCGTACATCTCCAGGCGCGTGCCGCGTGGAAGGCCATCCGCAGGCCCATCTGCAAGGACACACATGTTCGTGTCGCCGTCCCACCGCAGACCGAGTACTTCCCACCGCAATGCCACCGCACGGCGCAATAGCGAAGGCGTCACCGTCGCCACTGCACAAGGCCACACACGTGTGTGACGCAACATTGAAAACCTAGCAGCGCAGCCACCGCCCCTCCTGCTGCCACCACGGCTCACTACACCCTGCCACGCTTGACCCCCAAGCGCCACTTGAAATTCCGTGGTGTGTGTGTGTACCTGTAAGAGAGACTTTTATTTACGTGTATATTCACAGAGAGAAAGAGAAAGGAATATAACGAGAGCAATGAGGGGGAAACCGTACATACGCACACACACACACACACAGCAGCAGCAGCGGAAGAGTCCAGCGACGGAGGAGGCAAAGCGTACAAGTGGGGAAAGGAGGGTGGAGAGCAGGAGCGGGATGGACTGACGTCGTTGTTGATGCCGCGTAAATGCACCAGCGGCTGCCTCTCGCCACGTACTCCCCCGCCCTCCCGCCAAGGCTGTACGTCACGGTTTAAGTACAGAAGCAACTGCATATCGTACACGTGCATGGACGCGCGTCCGCGACATACTATTTTGGAGGGAAACCGCCGTATGGCAAATCACAAGGAAAACCACACACATGCAGAGAGAAAAAAAAAACAATAAAAAAGGAAGGGAGGGAAACGCCATGCACAGTGCGCCTTCTCACCCCCACTCTAGGTTTTTTCCCCCCAATTTCCTCCCCACCGTTGCAACGACCAGACTACGTCCCCACCGCCCAAGATATAAGGATATGGCACACTGGCCCCTTTTCTTCCTTTTCTTTTTTCTTCTTTCCTTTTCGCATTCTTCCTTCTTCCGTCCTCCTCTACTCTTTAAAACCGAAGAACCGCACACGTAAGGGAGATGGCCTGTTTGTTGTTGGCGGTGTCGGCGGTAAAACATTTTTGCCGTCAATCCTCAAAATAAAATAAAAAAATGTGTCTGTGTGTGTGGGTGGGGGGGGGGGAGGAGGAGAAATGAGAAAAAAACAACAACAACAAAGTACTCTAATGTGGCGAAAAAGCACACGCCCTATAACACATTAGTTTGGACCTGTACACTATTGAGCAGCCGCTGGGCCGCGCTGCTAACGCTGGTGGGAAAACTTCCGCTATCCGATAACTGCAGGAGAAGCTGCAAAAGGCTGCGCGACTCCACGACGCGTGAGGAATCCGCTGAGTACGCCAGTAGAATCTCAATGAAGCGGATTGCATGCACCACCTCCGGCCAGCGATGTCGCTCCATCGCAAGGTTGGCACGATCCACGGCTATGCTGAGGAACGCGCTGGATGCGGCGAGCGCCGCCGCCATGCGTTCATCCTCGCAGAGGTTGAAGAGAACCTTCATCACCTCATCATCGCGGGACTCCTCCGACACAGGGATGCTCTTTGCAGTGTGCGCCAGCAGCGGCACGCTACACCGCGTGTCTCGTATAAAGGCGGCGGCTTTCTGCGACGAGCACTGAAGCACTGGAAGACACCTAAGCAGCGCAATGCGTGTGTTGACGTCAATAGAGGCGTTCGACGCGACAACGAGGAATGTCCCGGCAATGCTCTTTCCCCCAACGTTGAGGCCCTTTAGATGATTCCGCGAAACGTGGTGAACATACTGTAAAAGCAGCAAAATGGCGTTAGGACATAAGTGACGACTCGCCTCCTGCAAAGCCAACAACCACTTCCCTTCTGCCTGCCATTCTCCAATGCCTCCAGCTGTATTTGTGCTGCCAGGGCCACCCACGCTATTTCTGCGAGCTACCCCGCATCGACTGGCCGTTTTTTCTCCAGCAACGTGTGCGCTACTATCTGTTATGGAAACGGAGCCGTCTACGGTGGCGACAGCGGTCACGCTGGACGACTCCACCCCCTCCGCGTTCTGCGCCACGGACATCGACGGTCCTACCACGATGCTCTCGTCACCGGTCTTTTTAAAAACTCGTCGAAGCACCTCGAAGAGTTTGTCCAGACTTTTCCATCCAATAAGTGGCTCTTTCTCCTCGTGGAAGGCGGTACAGCAGGCCTCCTCTATGATGCGTTGAACGGCATACACCGCGTGATCCGCAACAAATCGATTCTGTGAAACAAAGCGTCGAAATGTGATTTGTCCGGCATCTGTGGAAGACAACTCCTGCGGCAGTGAAAAGGGAGTTGAAGGCCCATCCTCCTCGCAGCCGACCATCAGGTTGTGCAGCGCATCGATGCAGGTGACGGCCACATCACCCTCTTGGCACTGTAAGAGAAAGTACAGTGCCCCTGGGTGCGTGGGTGCGTACTGCGACACCCGCGAATCCTGCCGCTCGCAACAGCAGATAAAGAGCGAGCTGAGCGAGTCTGCTTTCCCCAGCACACTAAGTTGCGTGTTGTCCCAGAGGTTGGTCTCGCCAAGTTGGGTGAGAAAGCAGCTCGCTTCGTTGCGACATCGCTGTGCCGCAAAGGAAAAGCTGCGAATAATTTCGTACGACGCCTCCGCCGTCACCTTGGGCAGGACGGCGACGACCTTCTTGAGGCAACCCCCCTTCAGCCACTGCTCCCGCTGCTCCGCCTTCTCTTGGAAGAGGTTGGTCCTCACCCATTGCGCGATGGCCATGGAGTTCTCTGCCGCCTGCTCCGTGCTGATGTCCGCCGCCTGCGTATTCGCCAGCGTCTCCAGCGTGTTCTCCGCCAGAAATCCCCCGAACCACGCGTGGCGCTGCAGCGAGGCGGCGGAGTGTCGCTTCCTTGGGTCTCTGTCAAGGCAAGCTCTGAGAAAACTTTCACATACCTCTGAAAGTTCCATCTGCGGAATAGGCACCTCATCAGACTGGGCGATGTGGTACAGAGCACTCGCGGGGGCACGGTCGTAAAACGGCGGGCTGCCCGTCAGCAGCTCCACGCAGAGGCAGCCAAGTGACCAAATGTCGCTGTTCTCATTCGGCTGCTCCCCGCGGATGGTCTCAGGCGCCATCCAATACACGGAGCCCACCACCCCTTCCTCCACGTTTACGGCAGCCACGGCGGCACTCGACTCGGCGTCGGCTTCGCCACCACTCTTGTCGTCCCGCACCACAGTACGCGGCATGGCGAGTCCAAAGTCAGACAGCTTCACAACATCCCCAGCTCCAATGAGGACGTTGGCGCATTTGAGATCACGATGCAGAAACTTTTTTGCATGGATGTACGCAAGTCCGGTAGTGATTTGAAACACAAACCGTGCCACCTCCCGCTCGCTAAAGCGCCCATTCCGCTTTAGTTGTTGCAATAGCGAGCCGCCCTGTGCATACTCGGTGACGATGAGGAAGGCGTTGCCGGAACGGGCGTGGTCAATATAGCGGATGATGTACGGGTTCTCGAGGGAGCTTATAATGGCAACCTCCTTGCGCCATGTCGCCATCACTGTATCGTCGGATGCCATAATTTTCTTGACAGCCACCACCAGCCCCGTACTCCGGTCAATGGCGCTGTACACCACCGCGTTGCCGCCCTTGCCAATGAGGTCCTGCAGCTGGTAGGTGGAGTACCGCCCCTTCACGATTTCGTTCTCCCGCAAATCCTGCATGCGTGTAGGTATAAAAACGCGTCCCCCCCCTCCCCCCGTCTGTATGTGTATGTGTGCGACGCCTCTCCCCACCCCCCTCTATCTCTCTCGATCCCTTCTTTCCTGCTCTGCGGTTCTTTTCTTTTTTAAAAAATTGTTGCCCCGCGCAGGTGTGGCCTTTAATGCGTGCAACGAAGCAACAAAAAAACACAAAACAAGCAATAAATTGCGGATGTGTGTGTGTGTGTGTGTGTGTGTGCGGGCTGCGGTCCCCACTGACTGACACGTGCAGCCCTCCCACACGAAACTCAAGACGACTTCGCCCCCCAAAGCAAAAAAAAAAAAGAGACATGGTGGTAAAATCAGCAGCAGCAGCGGCGGCGGAAAGATCAAAAAACGAAAACAAAATGGAAAAAAAAAGATAAAGAGACATGACGAGACCTTTGGTGCACGTCACGCAACACGCTGCAATGCTCCCTCCTACGCTCTTGCAACGTGGTAGTGGTGGCGCAAATGTGTGTGCACGCCCTACGCGGTGATCTCGTTTCGTGCGCGCTGCCGCCCCGTCTTGGAACGTGAGCGGAGTGCCTCATGCAGCGGCTGGTGCCCTTTAATCACCTCCACCTCCTGCCCAGCCTCTGCGAGCAGTTTCACCACGCCATTCAGGACCACGGCGTCGATGCCAATGTCACAGTCGAGGGCAAACTGGCTCACGCGATTCACCGTTTCTGCGTCCCCGGCGCGTGCGGCGCGCTCGATGATGGGCAGCACCATCTCCACCTCCACCCGCAGCCCCGCGTGGGATGTCACCCGTTGCAGGAAGTCAAGTGCCTCATCGATGCTGTCTGCAAGAACGGCCTGTCGGATGAGAACGCGGAACGTAAAGGCGTTTGGCACCACGCCGTTCTCTAGCATGGCGTCGTAGATGGTGCGCTGCAGCGACGCCCCACGCTGAGTCGAGAGCCCAACCAGCAGGCAATTGTACGTGTTCGTGCGTGGCTGGATGCCCCAACCTGCCATGTAGTCGCCGACAAGCGACATCGCCCGCCTGTCCTCGCCCAACTTCGCGGCGGCAAGCACGACAAGATCCAGCGAATGTGCAGAGACGATTTGCCCACCACGGCGTCGTGCGCGCAGATGCTGCATCACGCGGTCCAGCAACGCCGTGGTGCTCATGGCGTCCGCCAACGCCATCATGAAGTGGCGATCCATCACTTGCCGCAGACAATCTACCGTGCACTTCTTAAACGGGTCTGTCAGCTCCAAGTGTCCTTTTCGGGACATCAGCTCCAGCAAGTCAAATGCCTTCTCCAGCTCCAACGCCTGCGCCCAACACCACACAACTAGACTAAGAACATCGGCAGTTTTGGTCATGACATGCCGATCCATCATGGCGAGGACTTTACCGGCCGTGTCAGCGTCGGCGCACTTCGCACAGCGCTGCAGCAGCTCTGCCACATGTTGTTTCTGTACAAACTGTACAAAAGAGGTCTTGTCAAGAACACAACGCAGCTCCAGCTCAAACATGAGCCAGAGGACGTACTCTGGCGGATACTCCTGCGCATTGCGAAGCCACTGCTCCATCATCTGCGCGAGCAGTCTTCTGTCCATCACGCTACCCCCGTGACGAAGGGCCTCGCGCGTGACATCCACCACGAAGGACGCGTCCGGCGAGGAGGGCACAACATGCAGCAAGAGGACCTGAACTGTGCACGGCAGCGGTTGCATCATCGAGTCACGGCGCATCTCGTACCACAGCCCAACCGGGTCAACGCCCATGCGGATGTGCAGCTCAATAAGATAGTGGTACGTCAACGCGTCAGGGAGGACACACACGGCTTTCATCTCCCGCAAAACAAACATAACCTCATCCCGCGAAAAGTTCTTCCGCTGTGTCAGCACCTCCAAATAGGCGTTAAAGAAACTTGTATTCAGAAGAGGCAAGTCACGGCCACCTTCGCCCCTGCCCCCTGCAAAATCGCGTAGCCCAACGGTAAAGACCTCACGTACCCGATCCATGCGACCCAGCGCCGTGAACGTGCGCATCAAACACACCGCCATGTCCCGCGCCTGACAAGCTCCACCGGCAAACTCCTGCAACGACATGCGGTCCGCGAGAAAGGATGCCTCATAGAACCGCACGACACCATTGTAGTTTTTCGCCGCCATCAATTCCACCACATGAGGAAGAGGCGCTACCGTTTCCATGGCAGCAGATGCACCATGCACCTGACGAACTGCCACGCACACCATTTGCGTAGGCTGCCACCACCTTAGGTGGCACTGAACAAACTGTAGCGGGCAGCGCATATACGCTCACACGGTCCGCGTTTTTTTTTTAACACGCCAACGAGTCGCAGCAAGCCAAGCAAACAAAACGAGAAGCCAGAGAGCACAGCTACGCAGAGTAGCGTCAACACGAAAACCCGGGAGTCACAACCCCAAGAAGGGAGTCAACGGCAGTGCGGAGATTTCATCACAATCCACCAAAAGGTGGAAGCCAACCACGCACCTCTTCCACACCCTCCGCTCAGAAGAAGAAACTGCTGGTGTGACAAAACAACAACATTAAATAAATTACCAGAAGAACAGTTCAAAAATAAATATTCGTTTTTGTTATCATCCACGCAACAAACACCACAGCCTCAACAGAAACGCTCACAAAAAAGAGAAACAACACGCTCACTCCACAACGCAAAGCCCCCTTCCCGACAACATTCATGATAAAGCCGTACAAAAACAAAACTACAACAAATGACTCCTATAAATGTTCTAAAAAAAAAAAAAAACCAAAACCAAAACAGAAAATCTATAACAACAAATACAGACAACAATTCCACTGCTACCTCACTTGTCGTTGACGGCCAGCGCAGAGATGAAGGCGGCGCCAATGCCGCTGCCGTCCTTCACAAGAGCCATTTTCACGTTGCAATCCGCGCCGAGAATGACGTTCATAGTTTCCTGCAGCAGGCGGCGGAATGACGGTGTCTTCTCGTACACAGACCCATCAACAGCGACCGTTGCGCAGCCCTGCTTGTGCGTCTTCGCGAGCGGCGCACTGCAGAACATGGCGCTGATCTGTGCAGCGCGCCCACGCACCAGGCGGCAAACATCACGGATCACATGCAAGTCCTCCACGCTCGGCACGTCCACGTTGAACAGCTTGCGGATGACGCTGCGTGTGAACTGCAGCCCGGGCATGCGGTCCGCAGACAACATACCCATGAACTTCGTCTCGAAGCTCCACGGCTTGGCCATCGCGGACGCCAGGGA